GGGATTACAATTGAGATGAAAAAAAAATGTGCAAAATGATGTAAAAATAAACTTTTTAATTAAAAAAAATGGGATGTGATTGTCTGTATAATGTTATAAGGACAATCAGAAACTATAATGCTGTTTTGCAGCATTTTATACACACTAATTCTGTTGTCACAGAAAAAACTCTTGCTTTTTATGTGACTGTGCCTTGGTAACTGGTCAGTAACAGTGCCAGCAAGTGGCTGGACAGATCTTTAACCCAGATCCCAAAACTCCTAGCCATGGTGCTGGACTACTATTTCTTGGACTTGCCCGATAGGCATTTAGGTACTTTTTCTGTTTTAAAACCCAGAGATTTCCTGATATGTACGCGTTTATAAAGGAGGTGGGGCACCCAGTTGGAATCCTTAATGAGGACTTAGTCTTAGTCGTGTAAGCTCACCAATAAGCCCCCTGCTAGCATTCATCCCTAGAGCAGTCTGTTATCCTGTACTCTGGAATGATTTTCCCAAAGTGCCCCACCTGAAAACTATGACTCTAGCCTATAGAAGGCTAGTGCTGCTGAAAGGCATTTTGCTGGTGCGGTGGACTTGCCTTGGAAACATAAGCCTGCATAGGAAGTGTGATAAGGGAGGCCATCCGAGTCTCTCAGACATTTCCATGGGGGCCACTTTGGAGATTTGAAGCTGTGTGGAAGTCACTTCAGGAATTCAGAGGCCTCAGTTTAGAGAGATGTCACAGATGCACTGAGAGACCATTCAAAAAGACAACTTCTATTAATAAAGGTTGGCAGCACAGCATCACCCAAGTTGTGTTGCTCAAGTTTGTAGCCCACTAACAAAGAGTTTCAAACAGGTTAATCCCTTTGAATTCATGCCTCTCTTAACTTCCCTCTAGTGTAACTGATAACTATCTTGCCTTTCTAGCTTATTGCTCAGAGAACTATGGTGAAACTGTTTAGACCTAAGATCTCTTATCTGAGTTTGTCTGTGTGTTGCCTACAGAGCGAAGTAGGACTCAGGGCTGTTATATGTGGAT